TTTAAAACCCCTTCTCTCTCTCTCTCTCTCTCTCTCTCTTTTTCTCTCTCTCTCTCTCTCTCTCTCTTTCTCTCTCTCTCTCTCTCTCTCCTTCTCTCCCTTTTTCACTTTCTTTTTCATTTATAAATTTTTCAAGAACTGCCTTTTAAAATTCGAAAGCCCCCCCTCTCTCTCTTTTGATTTTAATGAGATTAAAAATACACGGGCGTTGAAATAATAAGAGATACTCTTGTTATTATTATTATTATTATCTTATTATTATTATTAATGTTGTTGTTGTTATTATTATTGTTGTTGTTTTTATTTGTATGGTTTATATCCATCAACTCGAAAATGTGTTTGCGTCTGGCGACGAATTTACCGCGAAGAAGTGTAAATAATAATATAAATAATAACACTAATAATAATAATAATAAATTATAACAATAACAAGAATAATAACAATAATAACGGTTTTTTTTTGTTTAATCTGCTTCTTCATTCTTGGCACCATATATAAAGATAATATACGTTTTAACTTTATATAGGAAAATTTTATATACATATACAAAGCAATACATACATTCACACACACACATACACATAAACACACACGCACATACACATAAACACACACACATACAAACACACATGCATACACTGGACACTGGCCTAGCTTGCGGTCATAAATAGGATTTAATTGGGTCATTATTTTGAATTATTTTCTGATTGAAAGACTTGAAAATAAATATTTATTGAATTTATTATTATTATAACTGTCATTAATATTTTTATTATTATTATTTTTATTATTATTATTATTTTTATTATTATTATTATTATCATCATCATCCTCATAGTGTAACGGTTCTAATAAGAACGAGAAAATATTAGTTTTATTTAAACAATAATTTATTGTTCTTATCATAATAATAACAATAATCATAATCATAATCGCCATCATTTTATTGCTGTTATTATTATTTTAGATGAAATTTGCTGAAGGATAAAATGAAATCACTCCTCTCTCTCTCTCTATCTCTCTCTCTCTCTCTCTCTCTCTCTTTCTTTCTCTCTCTCTCTCTTTCTCCCTTTCTCCCTATCTAGCTGTCTTTCTACGTGTATGCCTACATAGTAATAGTGATATACCAAAACGTAGTTGCAGTAAAAGAAGAAGTAGCAGCAGCAGTGTGTAAGTAGTAGTATGAGTTGTAGTCCGAGTGATAATATTTCAGTTTAGAATCCGTATTTATAATCGTTGGCTGACCCTGGTAAGTTAAGAACACGGGCCGAATGTTTGACACCGAAGCTGTAAGCTGGTCCCTTCTTCTTTGTACTCAACATTGACATCGTCTGTGTGTGTGTGTATTTGTGTGTGTATGTGTTCTTGTGTGTGTGCGTGTGTGTGTGTGTGTTTGTGAGTGTGCGTGTTTGTGTGTGTAGAGATGTATGTGGGATTTTTTTTTGTTGGCTGATTTGTTGTTTGCATGTTGGTTGGAATTTCTATTGGAATTATCATCATTATTATCATCATCAACAACAACAACAACATCATCAACAACAACAACATCAACATCATCAACAACATCAACAACATCACATTCATCATCATCAAGATCAACAACAACATCATCATCAGCATCATATATACCGACATCACTGGAGACGGAATGAGCCGCCGGACCCGGTTTATTCGTCGGATCTCCGGGCATGTTGTTCCTGCCGATCAGACTGAAACTACAGGACTTCCTCATGTACCGATCCGTCGTCGGTAGCATGTACGCTCCTGGTCCCGGTGTCTTTCGTCGTTATTATTATTTATTATTATTATTTATTATTATTATTATTTATTATTAGTAGTAGTAGTAGCAGTAGAAGCAGCAGTAGCAGCAGCAGAAGTAACAACGGAAGTACAAATAGTAGTAGTAGAAGTAGTAGTGAAACCACCAACTTTCGATTTATCCTCACTAAAACCACCAATCTGACTTCGTGACCTGATGGAAAACTGTGGCGCGGATCTTTTGTTTGACCTCAGTGACCTTGAAAGCATGGGATCAGGGTTGTACGCGTTTGGGGCTGTTCAAAGTATAGAAGAATTTTTTTTTTTACACACACACACACATACACACACCCACATTCACACACACATAACTTCGGGTCTCCAAGTGATGTATTTTCATTGCTGAATAAAAGTTTATTTAAATACCTACCTACATACATACATACATAGACAAACCTGGGGTAGCATTTTTTATGAGGAGCACATCTCTATTCGATGACGTCACCATAGTAAAAGATGGCGACCTGTAGTGAACGCTTAACTTGCCGCAATCGACAGGGGCGTAGGCGGCGGGCCCTGGTGTGGCTGTCGCGGATGACTTGGGCTCGTTTCGTCTCGTAATTATTACGCTGTGCGGGGTGCGCTCCTTGCCTGGATGAAATTATAATATAAAAATATAATACATAATTAATTAATTATATTTATATGAGATACATGTTAAAACTTTAAAATCTAAATTATATTTATATGACACTGTTAAAACTTTAAAACCTATCATCATGATGAAATAAAGTTAATAAGATGTAGTAAAATTTTTATCCAGATGTAACAATATTTAATCAATAGATTTAACTTCTTCAAATACCAGCCAACTTACCACTACGGTATATTTTATCAGCCGGGAAGTAAGCAGCTGGTCCAGGGGTGAGTTGTCCTGAGTTTGGTTTGTCAGCTAGTTTGGTGCCAAAATGGTACGAGGGCTGGTTTTTTATGTGGCTAGATAGAACAAAGTGGCCGATATATCCTGACATAATTTCTTTAGAGATGTGTTGTTTGTAGTGTTTGTGATTTCGGTTGTTGTTGTTGCTGCTGATGTGGTTGTCGTTGTGGTTACTGTTGTTGTTTTTGTTGTAGTGGTAGTGATGATAATGAAGATGACGACGACGACGACGATGATGATGAGTTATTTTCAAGATAACGCTTTCTAGAAATTTATATTTGTACACTTTAAAACTATTCTCGTTACGTTATTTCTCACGGCATAAATATTATGTTATTATTCTTTTTATTTATTTATTATTATTCTCTTTATTATTTATTATTGTTATTATTATTTTATTATTATTTTATTATTATCATTATTATACAAAATGATATCTAAGTATAATAACTTTTAGGCCAAGACCGCAGATATATAAGTGATCGATGAAAAAATGAAAAAAAGAGATGTATATAGAAAGAGAGAGAGAAAGAGAGAGAGAAAGAGAGAGGAAAAGAGAGATAACAAAGAGAGAGAGAGAGAGAGAGAGAGAAAGAGAGAGAGAGAGAGAGAGAGAGAGAGAAAGATATAATTACATGACTTGGATCATAATTAAAGGTGATGTTGTTTTATT